TTAAATATTATATTAATATTAATAATAATAAAATAAATATTAAAAAATTATTTAATAATGATTATCATTATAAATGATCAATTTAACGCTTTTTATTATTTATACAATATATAAATTGATAAACGCTGTAGCAACTCTTATCAGTCAATCAATATAAATGTTGTCATATAAATAACATTATCATTAAATTATTACTACATAATAAAATGGATGGTTATTTTAAAACAAAATAAATAATACATTTAACTTTAATATCGAAACAAATGAATTCAAATGAAATTAATAACTTTGTTTGGATAAACAATGAGGTAATTATTTATTAATTATTTTACTAAATTTTAGAATATTCAACGGAATACTCTATTTATTAATATTATTATATTAATATTATTAATGTATAATATAAAGTATTTTATCTGAATAAATTATGGTTTGTATTGCATACATTAAATAATAATTTAATAATATAATTTATACTTTTGTATTACTTAATGTATAAGCTACAATATAATAATTTAATTTATGTGCATTTAGTTATCATATATAGGACAAGATGTGCAACAAATTCCATTAAATATTGTGAACATTTATTCACAATATGCCGTAAAATTGGACCTAAGTTTCAATATAATAGACAATTTGGATGGAATTGAAAAGTTCACAAATCTTAAGGAATTGATCCTTGATAATAACTTAATTAAGGATGATTCTATTAAATTATCATATAATTCATCGCTTCACACTTTGTCCCTAAATAAAAATAAGGTATTTCATTATAATTCGTATCATGCACTAAAAATCAATGTTCTCTTTTATCAAAAATAATTTAAACTAACTTGCATGTTTAAACGTATTATAGCTAGATATTTGATTTAGACTAAATTTTGGGCTAAATTTTTACAAAAATGTTTGTGTTTATACTATATAGCAAAGTATACTTCATGATTTGTATACATACTAATAGGTTTGTTAGAGTTAGTTTTCAATGTGATGTTTGAATGACATTGCAATGTTGTGATGTTGCAATATACACCTGTTGGTTGCTTTAATTATTAAAAATACTTCTTTTAATTTATCTCTTATTAATTGTCAACATTAGTTATTATTTACTGTTTACAAATGATGATAGTATTGAACACAGTATTTATACATTGTATTGAAAGTATTACGTGATGTTTATATGATTGTAAGTTAACAGATCTGGAAAGACTATTAACACACTTATCGGAAAAGTGTCCCAATTTAACATTCCTGAGTTTGTTGGGAAACAACGCCTGTCCCGACCAGTTGTCCAACAATTCACACAATGATGAGCAGGACTATGAAAGATACCGTCGATATGTCATCTATCGCTTACCTTTTCTCAAATTCTTGGACTCAACTCGAGTTACGGGCGAAGAGAGAAGAGATGCGAACCTAAAGGGACAGTATTTGAGAACAATTCGACCCAACGATCAAATGGTATGAAATAATGAAATGCAATTCAAACACAAATATTAAAATAGTTATTAAACGACACATGAATTCAGTTTGAAAACAACGACGAGAGACGAGTTGTTCGACAATTATTTACTCCTCTTCCCAATCAATGCAATTCTAGTGGAAATCATTTTGGTTTGACTTCATTTTTCTTCTATTATTTGTTAATTAATTCACTTTCAATTGATTGCTGCATGGTCACCATGCCATGGTGCAATGCACAGGTGCTTACGGACCACTCAAACACAGATACACTGGCAAACACTCTGAAGGCAATCGCTTTATAAGAAATCACGAGTTATAAAACATTTGGTTAACAAGTTTTATGAC